CTATTCTAATCAAAAATAGTTTTGTAGTGGGACCAGAATGACTTCCCGCTCCCGCCTGCCCGCACTGCCAGGTTGGCAGGTCCAGACCTGCTGCCAAGGCCTTGTGTTTGTTAGATGGCCTGGTGTCCTTGCCCTGAGGACAGCGGCGCTAAGGTGGGACCCTGGGACCCCTGCCCTGGCCACACAGGCAGCAAGGACAAGGCACAGCGCACAGTGGCGAGGAGCAGGTGGCTGCCTCCCTCCCGGGGATCCAGTTCTCACTCCCCACCACTCTGGCCCCCGGCGACGTGGTGCTACCTAGAAAGTCTTCCCCCCCCCCCAGCCAGGTCAGCGAGGACGATCTGCCGGAGGCCACCATGTGAGAGAGGATGTCTTGGTTGTACCCGTTGTGGTTTCACTTTGTATTTAAGCAAACAAAAAAGGAAATAAACTTGAAAATTATTTGTCATCATAAAAATGAAATGAAAAATTAAAATATTTATTGCCAGGCAATGCCATTGTGTGTCACTGTTTTTACAAGGCAGAGGTAGAGTTCTGCCAAAAATAAAAAAAATTTAAAAATTTAAAAATACAAGGCAGAGGTAGAAAGAAGGGGCAGGGTTTGGCTTCCTGGTTTACACTATCATGCGTCGAGGCTTTGAGGGTTATTCACATACACTTTGGGTTGGGTTTTTTCTTTTTTTTTAAATATTTATTTATTTATTTATTGCGTGTGTGGGTGTGTGTGTGGCCAGCTCAGCCCACCAGGGGGGCGGGGCTGGCTGGCATGTGGTGCTGGGGGATTGAACCGCGGTCCCTGTGTTTTTGCTTAGCTTAGCTTGTACTAAGTAGGTGCGTTAGACCACTGAGCCATCTCACCAGCCCCTGGGTTGGGTTTTTTCGTTGAGGCATGGTCTCATTTTGTATTGTAGTCCAGGCTGGCCTCAAACTCAACCGATTCTGCCTTAGCCACCCCCAGTGCTGGGGTTATAGGTGTGGGCCACCATGCCCTGCTGGTTTGGTATTTTGAGACAGGCTTTTCCTGTGTAGTTCAAGTTGCCATTAAAGTCATGCCTCAGTTTCCTCATCTGTAAGGGAGGTTGAGCCTCAGGATGGTGTCTGGCAGACAGCAGACACTATACATTTTATCTGCTGCAGTTGCCATTGATATCTTTTTTTTTTGGTGGTACCAGAGATTGAACTCGGGATCTTGCACTTGCTAGGCAAGCACTTATTCCACTGAGCTATCTCTCTGGCCCATTACAATACCTTTTTTTTTTTTTTCTGTGTTTAGGGCAGGGTCTATAGGGTCTCACTACAAAGATTGTACTCCTAGTGATTCTCCTGTTTTCAGCCTCTCACGTGCTGGGATTACAGACTTGCGCCACCATGCCCAGTCTCAATCGCTGTCTCAGTGTGCCCCGAGAGCGGGGCTCGGGCAGGGGATGCCTGGAATCGAACTCTGGCCACTGCTGTCTAAGCATGTGCTTTAGTCCACTGAGCTGTCAGGCCAGCCTCGTTTTGTATTTTAGTGTATTTGGTACAGGGTCTCACTGTGCAGCTCGGACTCAGTGATCCTCCTGTTTTCAGCCTCCCCAGTGCTGGGATAACAGGTGTGTATCACCACGCCCAGTTAGTGGTCCTCAGTACTTACTTAATAGGCTTGATTCTCAGTAACTCATTGTTGTGCATGCCTACCTGTCCCTCTGGTAGGAGCAGCTGGCCTGCCTGTCCACCCTGCAGAGGAATCCTAGGAGTCAGTCATCACCGTGGAGGGGACAGTGTGACCTCTAGAACACAGCCTCTGGCTCCAGGCTACTGCTGTGTCGCCAGGTGTCCTTTCCTCCCCTGCAAGGAGGCATGGTGTGGAGGGATGGGGGAGGATCTGAAGAGCAGTTGCTGACAGCACCTGGACTCGCGCCTTGCACCTTAGCTGTTACCAGGATTAAAGAGTGGGTGCTTGCTTCCATTTACTAGTTGTTTTGTTGAGAGAGGATTTCACAAAGCCCAGTCTCACCCAGACTTGCAGCAGCTGTCCTGCAGATGTGTGCCTCCATGCCTGGTTTACCATTTACTTGTTCTTCTTTTCTTGGGAGGGTACGGTTTGAGACAAGGTTTCACTAGGTAATTCAGGCTGGCCTTGAACTCACTTTGTAGCCAACACTGACCTCAAATTTGAGTCCCTCCTCCTGCCTCAGCCTCTGGAGTGCTGGGGTTACAGGCATGTGCAACTCCCCATGGCACCATTTATTGCTTACAAGTGCTCCCAACTGGTAGCTCATGGGGGCCTCCAAATGGTGATATGTAGTTGGTCTATTGATTTGTTCCCATTTAAAAGATACTGCTGGGGCTGGGGAGAAGGCTCAGTAGAATTAGCGCTTCCCTGGCAAGTGCGAAGGTCTGAGTTCACTCCCCGGTTCAAAAAAAAAGAAAAAGATCTTGCCATGGCAACCTCTCCTGGGTCCTTCTGAGACAGGCCTCCAAAACATCTTCAAGCCTGCCCTCCCTGGCCAGTGTGGTCAGAGTGCTCCAGGGTGGGCACAGCTGGAGTCAGGGTGCACGGCTTTGCCCTGCACAGAAGGGCTCTGGGGTTTGCCTTCCAGGATTTCAGGAACATACGTATCTGTGCCGGATTTTAGCAAGAGCTCTCCGGCCAGTCCTTGGGACATCAAGCAGGTCAGAGTCCCCAGTGCAGTCTATTTACTTATTTATTTATGAGACAGGGTCTCACCATGTAAATCAGGCTGAGCTTGAACTCACTATGTGACCCAGGTTGGCCTCGAACTCTCGGAAGTCCTCCTGCCTCAGCCTCTGGAGCACTGGGATCACAGAAGTGGCCACCATCCCTCACCCCAGCAAAGTCTTAACCAGGCATTGCTTTTTTTTTTTTTTTTTTTGCGGAACCGGGGAATTGAACTCTGGCCCTTGCGCTTGCCAGGGAAGCGCTTATTCCACTGAGCCATCTCCCCGGCTCAAGGCATTGCTTTCTTTCTTTTAATTTTTATTTATTTATTTTATTTGTGTGTGTGTGTGTGTGTGTGTGTGTGTGGCCAGCTCAGCCCACCAGGGGGCGGGGCTGGCTGGCATGTGGTGCTGGGGGTTCGAACCGTGGTCCCTGTGCTTTGCCAAGCTTGCTCCAAGTAGGTGCTTTAGACCACTGAGCCATCTCGCCAGCCCTAGGCATTGCTTTCTAAGTAGGTTTTCTTGCCCTATCTATCCCTGTGAGAGAGAAGGCAGGAGGGCATTGGGTGTTGTGTGAGGTGCTGGGGATTGGACCTGGGACCTTCATGCTGAGCTGTAACAGCTCTTATTTTTTGACAGCGTCTCACCCGTGCTGGGATTGCAGGCAGGCACCCCTGCACTGGGCCAGGGGAATTTTTAGTTGGGGTAACCATAAAAGTGACTGATTGCCGGGCATGTTGGCATACATCTCTGGAAGGCTGAGGCACAAGGATCACCTGATTCAGCTGACCCCCAGGAGCCACCTCCAGCCTTGGGAACTCTTCTCTGATGTTTCTGGGCGGGTCACTTCCATGGTTGTAAAGCTGGGCTGTATGGATTTGTCCCCCAAGTTGGCACTTGCCTCCAAGGTGAGGAACTCTTCCACTCATGCCCACTAAATCAGTGTTTTTTGTTTTTGCGGTATTGGGGATTGGACTCAGGGCCCTATGCTGGCCAGGCAAGCACTTATTCTACTGAGCTATCTCCCCGGCCCTAAATCAGTGTTCTGCAGGGCTCCAGAAATCCAGAGCTCCAAATCCAATGACCAGTGAGATGGCACTTGCCTCCTTCCATGGCAGGGTATGGCTAAGTCCTAGGTCATGGACCTTAGGAACACATGCCTAAAACAAGCCCCACTTTAAGCCTGCTTTAGCTGGGGCCCTGGCTGTGTTTAACTGCCTGAGGCGGATCCCAAGAACAATAAAGAGTCCCACTGCATAGGGGTACAGGAGACAACATGGGTAAGGTACCTAAGAAGGTTGGGTGTGGTGGTGCACCTCTAATCCCAGCGCTCAGGAAGCTGAGCCAGGATTGTTTCCACTTAAAAGGCCAACCTGGGCTACATAGTGGGACCATGTCTTAAACAAAACCAAAAAAGGGACCTTGAGGGGATTCAGGAAAGCATTCTGGGAACAGCCAGAGATGTGATGAAAGGCAGGGCACAGAGCTCTGCCGCACGCTGGGTGGCAACTGCCTGGCTCTGGCCTTGTGGCCTCACTTGAAGTCCTTTAACCCCATAGAGCCTCAGGTTCTGAATTAGAAATCGAGAGATCAGAATCAGTCCTTAAGTGCAAGGGCCTGAGTTCAATCCTCGGTTCCACAAAAAAAAAAAAAAAAAAATCAGTCCTTGACTCCCTGAGTTGTTGCTCCTACCTAGAGGTCCCACAAGCCTCGTGTGTTCATAGGTAGGGCTTTTTTTTTGCAGAACGGGGGATTGAACTCAGGCCCTTGCGCTTGCCAGGGAAGCCATCTCCCCGGCCCCATAGCTAGGGCTTTAAGGAGTGACTGGATCACGGTGTGTGACACTGAACCGTGGGTGAGTGAGCCGTGGGTGTGATACAAATTAGACACCCTGTGTACAGGTGATGGGATGTTGGGCAGTGAAGCCTGGTGGGAAGCGGCGGGTGGTGAGGGGCGTGGCCTGGACGGGAGCTAGTGCATAGTGCACGGAGCAAGCGTGGTGGTGTCTCCTTTTGGGGTTTTTCTCCTCCCCCGGGCCGATGGACTTTCTTTCTTCCTTTCTTCCTTTCTTCCTTTCTTCCTTCCTTCCTTCCTTCCTTCCTTCCTTCCTTCCTTCCTTCCTTTCTTTTTTTTCTTTCTTTCTTTTTTTGGTCCTGGGGCTTTGGAGACCTCTCCAAATGTGAGCCAAGTAAAATCTTTTCTGCTTTAATTCGTGGCTGTCTGGTATTTTACAACAGCTTCAAGAGAGTAACTAAGACAGGAGGCAATCAGGTGCACGGTGATGCAGGTGAGGCCAGTCTGTGAGCCAGCGTGAGACCAGCCCAACAGCATCTCTGCCCAGCGCCCACCACGCACCCGTCCTGCTCTGAAGACAAAGATGAGCCTCAGAATCAACAGCATCTTCGCAGTACTTTTTCCTTTCTTAGCAACAGATAAGGTGCAATCACTTAGACCCAATGGCACATATATGACACAACCCCCCCTCCCGCATATATGCCATCTTAACTCTAGGCATGGTGGGACACACTGAGAGACACTGAGGCAGGAGGGCCACAAGTTCAAGTCCCACTTGAGTGACTACACAAAACCTGTCTTAAAATTTATAATCTGAAAAAAGAGCTAGGGATGTAGCTCAGGCCTCAGGTCCCCAGTACCACACAGGCACACAGCAACCACTAAATGAACTGATATAGAACGTATAAAAATCATTCTACTTTAATACAAGACCATACAAAGCAAGTGGGGAGAGCTGAATCCAATATGCACCAAATATCAGTGCAGTCACAATCACTACTGCAAGGGCAGTACCGTATTTCCTGGCTCTTTTGTTTTTCCTTTCTCTGCCCCACACCAAAGAGCGCAGCTTACACGCTGCAGACTCTAGGGCAAGTGGCTGGGTGGGAGGTGCCCTGTGGCACGTCGTCTCTGCTTTCTGGCCTCCTTGAGGACACTTCGCATCCCTGGCCAGACCTCCCAGGACATCCAGGCCCACGACAAGGACGAGGGGCACTCGAGGACCCGCCCTGGGGCGGGAAGCAACGTGTGCAGCGGGGCTGGCAGAGCTGGCTCGGGGCAGCCTCCAGTCAGCGCTGCTGTGAGGCTTCGCTGTCCATCTAGGTCTGCTTCCCGGACCGGAAAGCGAACCTGGTGGAGAGAAGGCACGGTGAGCAGAGCGTGGGCAGAGTGCATGTCCCCAGCAAGTGCAGCACCTATCCATGGCTGTACTCATTTGTTTTTTGCTCCCTTTTTCTTTTTTTGAGGCAGGGTCTCACTATGTAGCCCAGGCTGGCCCCAAACTCATGGCGATCCTCCCACCTCAGCTTCCCGAGCTGGGATTACATGTGTGGGCCGCCATGCCAGACACCCAACTTCATCTATCTATCTATCTATCTATCTATCTATCTATCTATCTATCTTTCTATCTAGGTGCCAGAAATTGCACTCAGAACCTCATGCTCGCCAGGCAGGTGCTCTGGCCCGGAGCTAAATCCTCAGCCCTATCAAGTCTGTCTGCAGGGCACGTGATGCCTGTTCATCATGGGGGTTGGCACATGATCGGCTCATGGCCTCTTTTCCTGCATCCGTTGGTCTCTTTCCTAGTCATGGCTCCTTACACCAGCAATATCCCTTCTTGTTCCTTTAGGGTACTGGGGGTTTAACCCAGGGGCTCGTGTATGCTAGGGTAGCACTCTATGGCTAAGCTACACTTTAGACCTTTCTCTTTCTGTGTTTTAAGACGGCGGTTGCTACCTGCCCAGGCTGTCCTAGAACTTCTGATTCTCCTGTCTCAGCCTCCCTCAAAGCTGGGACTACAGGTGTGCACTATTATGTCTAGCCGATTTGTGTTGAATAGATGAGCAAATGGGTCCTGTGAGGTTAAGAGACAAGCCCAAGGCTCCATAGTGTGCCGTGTGACCAGGAGATGGATCCAGAGCCACACTTAGTCACTGTGCTGTCCCAACAGATGGTGTCTGTCACCTGCTTTCTTTTTATTTTCAAAGGTTTAAAAAAAAAAAAAAAAAAAAAAAAAGAAGGATTTATGGTAGAGGAAGATACCTTCAACGATACCTCCAATTTTAAAACAGAGTGGTAGGCTGGGGATAAAGCTCAGTGGCACAGCACCTGCCTGGCAAGCACAAGGTCCTACCTAGGATATATAAAGAACTAAAAGAAAGAAAAAAAAAAAAAAATCAGACCCCAAAATTTAAAGACCCAGTCCAAAAATGGGCATCTGAAAGGAACAGACACTTCTCATTTTCAAGAGGTAGAAGACTGGGCATGGTGGTGCGCACCTGTAATCCCAGCACTCAGGAGGCTAAAAACAGGAAGATCACTACAAGTCCAGTCTGTGTAGTGAGTCCCTGTAGACCCTGGACTAAATACGTTTTTTAAAAAAGAGGTAGAACTGGCAAATATATGAAAAATGTCCAATACCACTGGTCATACAAGAGATGTAAATTAGAATAATGCTGAGATTCCATCTCATCCCAGAAAGAATGGCTGTCATCAAGAAATCAGCCAGTAACCAATGTTGGCAGGGAGGGCCGGGGAGATGGCTCCGTGGAATAAGCGCTTCCCTGGCAAGCACAAGGGCCTGAGTTCAATCCCCGGTTCCGCAAAATGTTGGCAGGGGATGGGAGGCAGTGAGATAGCTCAGGAGATCAAAGCGCCTGCTTAGGCAAGCTTAGGCAAGCACAGGGACCATGGTTCGATCCCCAGCATGACATACTATGCCAGCCCTGCCAGCAGGGCTGGCTGAGCCGGCCACAGAGTATGGCATAGTGGTATACACCTGTAATCCCAGCACTGGGACTGCTGAAAGCAGGAGGATCACTAGGAGTCTGAGCTGCACACTGAGACCCTGTACCAACCAAATACATTTTTAAAAATGTTGGAGGAGATGCGGGGAGAAAAGACCCTTCTCTACTATTCATGGGAGTGCAGACTGGTGCAATCAGTGTGGAGATTCCTTAAAAAACTATAACTGGAGATTCCATTCCATTCTGCTTCTTGATAATCTTCCCAGAAAAGCATCATACCACAACAATATGTGCACACACTTGTTGATAAAGCAGCTTATAATAGCTGAATCTTAGAGCCCAGATGCCCATCAACCTCAAATGAAGAATGGATAAAGAAAATGGGGGGTTGGGGCCAGGGAGATGGCTCACTGGAACAAGCACTTCCCTAGCAAGTGCAAGGGTCTGAGTTCAATCCCTGGTTCCACCACAAAAAAAGAAAAAGAAAATGGGGAGGGGGTTTATACAATGGAACATAACTGCTATAAAAAAGGATAAGCTGGAGACATTCTTTTTTTTTTTTTTTTTTTCTGGTGGCCGAACCAGGGATTGAACTCAGGCCCCTGCGCTTGCCATGCAAGCGCTTATTCCACTGAGCCATCTCCCCAGCCCCCAGCTTGAGACATTTCTAGCTAAATGGATGCACCCTGAGACCATACTCCTAAGTGAAATTCATCACACACATGTTCAAATATGGCATTGTTTCTCTGGTGTGAAAAACTAAAGTGTAAATCAGGAACAAGCTATATAACACATACTGGAAAATGGGAAGAAAATGTTCAAATGAGAAGGGGAACAGAGGCCTGGCCAGATAGCTCGGCAGATTAAAGCACCTACAGGGACCGGGGTTCAATCTCCTGTCTGCTGTGCCACCCCGACCCCTGGGGCACACTGAAATGGCGATTGAGACTAGGCATGGTGGCAGGCACCAATAATCCCAGCTCTTGGGAGGCTGAACACGGGTGGATCACTAGGAGTCCAATCTATGTACTGAGACCCTGTAGACCCTGTACTAAATACATTAAAATCTTAATGACTAGAGGGATTTGTTGTAATAGTGTTTGTAAACAGGATATCATGTTTGCATCTTGTACAGCAAATAACCACTAGGAAGACAATATGCAATGTGTTAATTTTTTTTTTTTTATTTTTTTATTTTTTTTTATTTTGTGTGTGTGTGTGTGTGTGTGTGTGTGTGTGTGTGTGTCCAGCTCAGCCCACCAGGGGGCGGGGTTGGTTGGCACGTGGTGCTGGAGGATCGAACGGCGGTCCCTGTGCTTTGCCAAGCTTGTTCTAAGTAGGTGCTTTAGACCACTGAGCCATCTCTCCAGCCCCTGCAGTGTGTTAATTATTGAAACTGTCCTACCAATTTGATTTGAAACTGTCTCATTGCTATTTGTCAATAAAATTATGGGAAAAAAATAAATATATTAAAAATAAAAGAAGGGGAACAGAGCAGAAGGGCAAGGGGAAGGGAGAAAGGAAGAGACAAGAGAAAAAATAGATCGAAAACATGTAAAGACAACTTTTGTAAATAAGGAGAAGTAGGGTTGAAGGGAGGGGTGAGGAATGAGAAAAAAGCAGCACATGTACAAATTTCTATGATGAATACTGGGGTTTTTGTTCATGTTTTTGTTGTCTTTTGGGAACAAGGTCTCACTATACAGTTCAGGCCGGCCTTGAGCTCACTTTGTAGCCAGGCTCTGGGATTATAGGTGTGTGCTACCGATGATGAACATTATCATTATGCATATCTAAAATGTACCAATACATTTTTTTTTTTTTTTACAGAACCAGGGCTTGAACTCAGGCCTTTGTGCTTGCCAGGCAAGCGCTTATTCTACTAAGCTATCTCCCTGGTCCTCACCAATAAAAATTTTTAAATGCTAAAAAACCCACCAACTTTTGGGCCACAGCTGGGGGTGGTGGCTGCGGCAGCAGTTCACTGAACACCTACCATCCCAGCACTGGGAATGCGGAGGCAGGGAACAGTGCAAGTTCAAGGCCATCCTGGACTCCACGGTACAGCCCAGCGCACTGGCCAGAGGAGAGGGAGGCCTCCTGTGTGGTGGGTGTCTAGGCGTCCCCCCAAAGCCTCATACATTTCGGTATGGTTCTAGAGTTTGTAATTCATGATCTAGGATTAGGGGTGTGAGTGCTACCCCCAGCCAGGGCGGACAGCCCGAATGCAGCACAGGGGAAACAGACTTGCTCTTTGTTGCTGTTGCTGTTACTCCTCCCTTTCTCTCCTGCTGTTTTGCTGTTTTTCCTCCTCCGCTCTGCCTTGAAGCCCCTGAGTATAGACTGAAACCTCCACAAACACTGAGCTAACCCTTTCCTTCCTTAATTTTGGGTATCAGGTATTTTGTCCCAGTAATGACGGAAAAGTAACCAAGACACCTCCCTGGCCCCTCCCAGCCTCCCTCAACCCTAACTGCTTTTCCCTTGTTCCTCAGGGGCAGGGACAGTAGGCGACTCACAGCTTCTTCATGATTGTCTTCTCCCCCTTGTTGGAACCTCTGGCCCTGGTAACCGCAGCCTCTTTGGCTAGTCTTCCTCCCGTGCTTTCTCTTGGGGGAATCAGTCCACTGAGGAAGGAAGGCAAAGAAGTGGGCTGTTTTCCTGAAGGTCTTGTATCTTAGTTCCTTGGGAGGCCGAGGCAGGAGGATCGCAAGTAGAGGCCAGCTTAGACAGTTTAGCTAGACCCTGTCTCAAAGTAAAAACTAAGCAGGGCTAGGGGTGTGGCTCACCAAACCCTTGTGTTCAACCCCCTGCCCCTAAAATAAGTAGAAATGTACACCAAGAAAGCTCAGTAGTGAAAAGCCCTGATGTGTCCTCAGGTCTCCCTGTCACCTCTCCACGACCTTCCTCACAGCACGGTGGTCTCAGGTGGCAGCCAAGGGCACAGGAACCGAAGCACTAAGGCCTCTTATGGCCCCAAGCCGGGCAGTCAAGCACGACTCCTGGCCTCCCTACAGGTGAGAGCAAGGCAGGGCCAGTGGGGTGAAAGGCAAAACAGACTCCATTTTTTTGTTTGTTTGTTTGTCGGTACTGGGAACTGAACCCAGGGTGTTGGCACGGAGCTACCCACCTCCCAGCTTGGTTTTACTCTTCTTTTTTTTGGTGGAACTGGGGATTGAACTCAGGCCCTTGAGCTTGCCAGGGAAGTGCTTATTCTACTGAGCCATCTCCCAGGCCCCTGGTTTTACTCTCCTTACAGGGCTCTCTCTACATTGCCCAAGCTAGACTTAACCTCAAAAGTTTCCTGCCTCAGCCTCCTTGGGTGGGGACGACAGTCACACACCGCCATGCTTGGCTCCCAGGCCCCCATCCAGATGCCCAATCTGCACTGGACAAGCAAGGACTTTTACTTTCTGTTCTTTGGGACTTTTTGTCTCTTTGATGTCTCAAAGGTCTCAATATGCAGTTTAGGTTGGCCTTGAGCTCATTTTGTAGCCTGGGCTGGTCTCGAACTCACAAGGATCCTCTTGCCTCAGCGTCCAGAGTGCTGGGAATGCAGGGCGCCACACCCGGTAATACTTTCAGTTTTATTGGCTGCTGTGCCCTCAAAGCCCAGCACGTAGCAGGTCTTCAGGAAATGGACTAAACAAACGCAAGAACAAGGAAGACAGGCCACATCTGGCCATGCAGGAGGAGCCTGCGCTGGTGGCAGAGCCCAGGCACCTCTTAAGCACCTCCTTTTTTTCTTTTTTTTGTGGTACCGGGGATTGAAAACAGGCCCTTGCGCTTGCCAGGCAAGTGCTCATTCTACTGAGCTATCTCCCTGGCCCAAGCACCTCCTCCTTGATCAATAATCAAAGACTGACTGACTGAGGCCCCAGGCTCCCCCCTCCCTTCCCCTCCCCTCCCCCTCCCCCGCCCCCCACGTGCGAAGCCCCACCCCCACCTCCTGTAGCTGAGCAGCTCCTCCTGCGCCAGCAGCAGCTGTGCCTTCAGCGTGTTGCGCTCCTGCAGCACCTCCTTTAGCTCCTGCAGCGTGAAGCGAGGCCGGTCTGGGTCTGTGAGGTCCACCACCAACTTGTCCGGTCCCAGGTCCAGCTGGAAGAGAGGACACCACTGAGATGGTTTCCTCGCGTGGGGCCAGGGATGGAGGGCTCAGCTGCATGGTCTCAGGAACACAGGCAGATGCGCACATGTGGGGATGCCAAGAGAGCAAAAAGCCAAAGCAATGTGTCCAAGAAAAGAGCCGGAGATCGCAGCCCCTGGGAGGCTGAGGCAGGTGGAGCGTTGCATGGGCAAGGCCAACTTAGGCTACAAAGTGAGTTCAAAACCAGGTTGGAGAGGCCTGGGAGGTGGCTCAGTGGAATAAGCACTTCCCTGGCAAGCGCAAGGGCCTGAGTTTGATCCCCAGTTTCGCCAACAAACAACAACAAAACAGGCTGGACAGTATAGCCTGTTTCTATTATTATTATTCATTTCATGTATTTGGTACACGGTCTCACTATGCAGCTCAGACTCATAGTGATCCTCCTATGAGGACTCCCCAGTGCTGGGATTACAGATGTGTGTCACCACACCCGGACTCGGTCACAGGCTTGGGGTGTCCCAGGGATGGGGCCAGCACAGCATGAGGACCAGAGCAGACCCTGTTTCTAAAAACAAATGAAACGAAACAAAATCAACCCTCAGAACTGAAAATAAGTTAATTAATTTTTTTAAAAGGGCCGGCTAGATAGCTCAGTGGACTAAAGCGCCTGCTTAGGCAGAGTGCAGAGGCCAGGGTTCGATCCCCGTGTCACCCCCGATGCTCGCTGAGATGGCAATTGAGACTGGGCGCGGTGGCGCACACCTGTAATCCCAGCTCCTGG